TTCTATTGCTTAGGATTCAGAAACTGATTTACAAAGCAATCAAGAAGCAGTGGGACAGGAGAATTCTAGGATTCAGGCTAGGAGCAATGTTTAGCCTAGAATTCACAGACTGATGAGAAGAGTAATCAAAACCAGGTAGTTGGTGTAGAGGCCTGACCACCACACTGTATTTCTGAAGCTGATGTTGAATAATAATGTATGTCAACTATAATTATATATACATATAGTCACGGGACGTGGAGTAGAGAGTGGGAATTGAGTCAATGGAATTGTAATAGATAAGCATGATATCAGGGGGGGAGGGCAGTAGATGGGGGAGGGGGGTCGTTTCTGTGTGAAGGGTAAAAAGGATAACTATTGCATTGTTCTGTACACCTGAAATTAACAATAAAAAAAAAAAACCAAGAAAAAAACAAAACCAGGGACTAAGAAACTAAGAAACTAGGGAGGAGACTTAGCCTTTCTATAGGAAAGAAAACTTAAAAGTTTCTCAGTGGTGGGGGTGCTGCTCGGTTGGCCGGTAATAGAGGAACTACGGTGGATACTTTATGCAGATTGATATGAGAAAAAAAGTACTACCAGTCTTTTGATTTTGAACTCAAGCTGAGTTTGAAAGAAAAAAAAGTTCTAGACCAGCTGGAAAATCATACCCCCACATTCCAATCCCAACTCTGCCTGAGAAATCAAAGTAGTCTCCTTCCTCCTGACCTCCTTTTTAAAAAATATTTTATTGGGGAATTGGGGAAGGGGAACAGCCAAGTAGGTCCTTCAATCTTAGTTGTGGAGAGCACAGCAAGCTTAGCTCCAAGTCCAGTCGCGCCGCTCAGGTCAAGGTGCTGTGCTTAATTAGTTGCAGGTGGGCATAGCCACAATCCCATGTGGGAGTTGAACCAGCAGCCTCATTGTTAAGAGTGCATGCTGTATCTACTGAGCCATTCAGGCGGCAGCTCAGCTCAAGGTGCTGAGTTTAGTCTTTAGTTACGGGTGGGCATAGCCCACCATCTTGAACAGTCAACCTTGTTGTTAGGAGCACGTGCTCTCACCAGCTGAGCCATCCTGCCACCTGCTGTCAGCTCAGCTGCAGCTCGCTTGGGTGCAGCTCACTGGCCAATATGGGAATCGAACCACGACCCTGTTGCTCAGAGCTTTCACTCTTGAGCAAGTTCTTAACCAATTGAACCACTGGGCTGGCCCCTGACCTTTTTTTTCCCTTCCTTCTCTTCTTCCTCTCTCCCTCCCTCACTCTTTCTTTTCCTCCATTCCTTCCATCCTTCTATTAATAATTTGTTATTTACTTGTATAATTATATTATTACTATGAGAATATTTCTTTGTTTTTCTTTTCTTTCTTTCTTTCTTTTTTTTTTTTTTAAAGATTTTATTGGGGAATTGGGGAAAGGAAACAACCAAGTTCTTGTCTTTCAATCTTAGTTGTGGAGGGCTCAGGTAGCTCACCTCCAAGTCCAGTCTCCATCCAGTTGCCCGTGGGCAGCTCTCGGCTGCTCAGCTCAAGATGCTGTGTTCAATCTTAGTTGCAGGTGGGCATAGACCCCCCTGCATAGATCCCATGTGGGAGTCGAACCGGCATCCTTGTTATTAGAAACACATGCTCTCACCAGCTGAGCCATCCAGCCACCTGTTGACAGCTCAGCGGCAGCTCAGCTCGGGCACAGCTCACTGGCCCATGTGGGAACCTGTCACCCTGTTGCTCAGAGCTTGCGCTCTTAACTAATTGAGCCACTCGGCCGGCCAGAGATATTTCTATAATAAAGAATTTTGTAAGAATAAAGTGAAAATCCTGAGCTATTTTATCAATTAAATTAATAATTTTTTTTAAAGATTTTTATTGGGGAATTGGGGGGATGGGAACAGTGCTGGGGAATTGGGGAAAGGGGAACAGACAAGTTGCCCTCATATGTGGGATCCGAACCGGGGCCCTCTGGCATCCCAAGCGAGTTCTTAACCATCGCGCCACTCGGCCGGC